AACAGAATGGACGGTTGTCTGGCCTCTAGAGCTGAGCATGAAGGAAGGAGCCAGCCCTGAGAAGTCTGTGCTGAGGGCGGGCCTGGGCTGCCTGGGGTTTTATGCACAGACTTCCCAGTCCAGAGACTCAGGGACAGATCAGGGACCTGGCTGCTTTACGATACTCAACAATTGTTAAAATAGATTCTTCCATGGAAGCTGTGTCCACACAGAATCTCCTGCATGACTGTGGGTAACGGCTGTGTTCCTGACCCCGGCTGTGCACCCAGTGCCTGTCAGCAGGTGGGTGTAGCTTATACATCCATGTGGGAACACTTCATAGTCAAAGGTACCCCTGGTGGGGCATGCCGGGCGAGCTGACTCTCAGAGCATGTGCAGGGCTGGCTGGATCTGGAGCCCCAGCTCTATCCACGAAGCACCTTGAGAAGAGAAAACTCTGCAGCTGGAAAGCCAGTCAGCGTCGTCAGGGCCGCTGGGGACTGACTGGGATGGCAGCGTTCCCTGTGGTGGCTGTGGTTCCACCTGTCAGCACTTGGTGAGCACATCCTGTGTGCAGGTGACATGCCATGAAAACTGGGTCCTCATGCCTTGAGCCCCAGTGGCAGAATCAGCAGGAATGGTGTGGAACATGGAGTCTGCCTTGTAAGGCATCAGTGATGTGCCAGTCTGTGAGGTGACTTTGGGCCAGAGAGGAGAGGCATGTGCCCACTCTGGGATGGCGGGGGTGGGGACATCCTTGTCTTCTGGGGCTCTTGGGTCAGGGAATTGCCACTTGCCAGGTAGAGGCTGCAGTACCGTCTCCACCCTCATGCACCTTGAGCTCTGATCAGATGCATCCTCTCCAGTGAGGGGAAGATGTCCGAGGACATCAGCCGGCCTGCCTCAGAGGTTTGACACCGAGTGCTGACGGGCATCTCCCTGCACATGCTGGGGCCCTAGGCTGTGGGGTGCAAGCACAGGCTCTTGGACCTTACTGCCTAGACTGGCGTTAGGCTGTCCTGCTGTCTCACTGTGTGGCCCTGGGCAAGTCCCCCTGCCTGTCAGGAGAGGGTGATAGTCGTATCTACTCTGTGGCATGTGAGAGTCCAGTGGGTCTGTGGAGGGTTTGGAGCCGGCCCTGCAGTGGAGTTCACTGCCTGGGCAGCACTCAGAGCAGCGTGCTGATTCTCTGTTGCTGCCTAACGATAACCCTGGGACACAGGTGTGAGACGGCACGGACCTTTGTTACCCCACAGTGCCTGGCGTCACAAGTTCAGGAGCGACTGGCTGGGGAGCTGGAGTTTGCCTGGGAAGTTGCGGTTGAGCTGATGGTCAGGGCTGTGGTAGTCAGAAGGCCGGGCTGGGCCAGAGGACGTGCCTCCAGGGGGCTTCTTCCACGGACCCAGGACCTGCTGCTCATGTGTCCTCGTGGTTTGCCGGCCGGCTGCCCCAAGAGCAAGACATCACATAGTGTGACTTGTGCAAGTCTGCCTGCTGGGAGAGATCTCCGGGTCCAAGCCAAGGTCAGAGAAGGAAAGGGACCTGGCTGTGCCTTGGACGAGGAGTGGAAGTGTTTGCAAACCATGACAGAAGCTGGCCTGGAAGAGGCAGAGCTGTCACACCTGTGGAGCACAAGAGACCAGGGACTTTTCACAGAGAGCATGTGGTCTTGTGAGTGTGACGTGTGCTTAGTGTGTGAGTGTGACGTGTGTGTGGTATGTGAGTGACATGTGTGCAGTGTGTGGTGTGAGTGTGATGTGTGCTTAGTGTGTGTGATGTGTGTGTTTAGTGTGTGGTGTGTGAGTGACGTGTGTGCAGTGTGTGGTGTGTGAGTGACGTGTGTGGTGTGTATGGTGTGAGTGTGACGTGTGTTTAGTGTGTGGTGTTGTGAGTGTGACATGTGTTTAGTGTGTGAGTGTGGTGTGTGTGCAGTGTGTGGAATGTGACGTGTGTGGTGTGTGTGACGTGTGTGTAGTGTGTGGTGTGTGACGTGTGTTTGTGGTGTATGAGTGATGTGTGTGAGTGTGACGTGTGTATGCAGTGTGTGGTGTGTGACGTGTGTGCATGTGTGTGGTGTGAGTGTGATGTGTGTGTTTAGTGTGTGGTGTGATGTGTGTGTAGTGTGTGGTTTGAGTGTGGTGTGTGTTTAGTGTGTGGTGTGTGACATGTGTGTGACATGTGTGGTGTGTGTGACATGTGATGTGTGAGTGTGATGTGTGTGTGTGTGCAGTGTGCGGTGTGTGTGATGTGTGTGTAGTGTGTGTGACATGTGTGTGCAGTGTGAGTGTGATGTGTGTGTGGTGTGAGTGATGTGTGTACAGTGTGTGGTGTGTGAGTGATGTGTGTGTGGTGTGAGTGACGTATGTGCAGGGTGTGGTGTGTGAGTGACGTGTGCAGTGTGTGATGTGTGTGACGTGTGTGTGCAGTGTGTGGTATGTGTGAAGTGTGTGGTGTGAT